GAATTTCAGGATCTATATTTGTAAATGTATAAACTTTAACAAATCTATGCAATACAGGAGGCATAGACATAATTGAAACTCTTCCTTAACTATTAGTAACAAATAGAAATGGAATTCCTTTTATTAAATTGATAGATGTAATTTCTTCACCTTATTTAAATTCATTAGCAACACCATGCAATTTATTTGTATCAGTTTCATAAAATCTAATTTAACCAGAATTAGTTCCTGCTAATAAATGTTTCATAGCAGGATCATAACTTAAATATGTTAATTAACCATCTTAGATTATAAATGTACGTAATAATTCACTTTCTCCAAATTCATTATCTAAAGTCATAAAAACATTATTATCCATAGATCCAGTAAAGAATGCTCCAATATCAGATGCATGAACAATAGCAACAACTTCACCTGAATGTTTAGGTAGATTCTTAATCTTTGCTCCATTTATTACATTAAATAATGCAACAGTTCCACTACTATCTCCAATAATAAATCTTTTATCTAAATTATCTAATTTAAATGCTGTAATTTCAGTTGTTGTAATATCACTATATATTTTTTTAACATCTCCTGTTAAAGCATTCCAAATTTTTATTTTAGTTCCTGCTGGTGTAAAAAATGCCATTTGATTTTCTATGAATTTACAACAAACTGCAACATAATCATCTACTGAATTAGGATTATAATTTTTATCATATTCATAAGAATAAATTGATCTACCACCAAAGATTAATTTTAATGGTTTAGGTATATAGCATAAACTTGAAGGATTAAATTTATGTTTTTCATCTTATGTTTCAACACTAAATTATTAAACACAATTAAATTTCTTTGTATCCCAAACCTTAACACTACCTTCTTAATCCAAAGATACTATTTATGATGTACCTTCAATAACTACTACTCCAATCACTGGACTACTATGTCCTTATATTTTAAAAATTAAACTTTCAATATATGGATTCCATACACATAAATTATGATCAAATCCTGCAGAAAATAATAAAATTAAACTCTCATTAAAAGCTAATGATACTATTCCTCTTGTATGTTCCTTATATGTTCTTTCTCTTTTATTATAAAGAGTATTCCACAAAATTAAGTTACCATCTAAACTAGCAGATGCCATAAATTATAATTTTGGCATAGCAATCATATCCATAACTACATCAGTATGACCACCTTCACTTTGTAATTATGTTTCTGTATCAGTTTTTAAATTCCAAATATTAATCTATCCTTCCTTTTAACCACAATATAATATTTCATTTATTCCATCCCAAGTCATACTATATATATCATTATTAAAATGGTGTTCAATCATTTCCTCATCATTATCAGGTTAATTGGCTAATACAAATCCTGAAGATTAATATCTCCATCCTCTTACATAACCATCATGAGTTGATGTCAACAATACTTGATACTTAGGATCATCAATGTAGAGCATTGTTAATATTTTAGTTTTCTTCTCTATAGTGTCTTCTTTCTTCACAATTATAAACTAGTTCATAATTAGATATATATACATTTTATTTATCCTTATCTTTTTTTGCTTGAGTAGTTACAACTTTATCACTAATAGGAACAATTTTTAAAGGTCTTAATCCAAATCCTCCATCAGGTGTCATAAATTAAATCTCATCACTACCTTCTTCAAAAAATGCTATTTTATCTATCTCCTTTATGTAAATAACTCTAGTGATGATTTAAGTGAATTTTTTAAATGGTTTCATATTAGATTTTGTGTAAAGTTTGATCTCATCTTATTTAGACTTAATATTATTTAATACAGTTGCTTTTTCAATAATATAGTTTGTGAATTCTTCCCATTCCAATTTTCCATTACCATTTAAATCTATTTCCTCAAATAGATTCACCAGTTATCTTATTATAATATATCAGATACCTAATCAATTTTATATCTCTGTTTGATATTTCTAATTACCAACTCAATAAATGCTCCTTTACAACCAAAATAAATTCTGTCACTTCCATAGATCCTTGTCTCATTAAAAATTCTGTTCTTAAGACATTAATTGTGAATGGATCAAAATTAAGAGTTAGATCAGCTAATAATGTTTCATCAGTATGTAAAATCTATTTATATGTTGAACGAGGTGAATAGATAGGAACAGTATGATCTAATTTTGAAAGCTTTTTAATTTACGTTGTCATAAGAATATTAATTATATAAATTAATTATAATTTAATTCCAAATTCTCATTCTCAATTTTCAATAATACACCTAAAATATTACTAATATATATCATAATTTAATACTTCACATCATTCATATTAAGTTTACTTATATCAATACAATTTTTAGAAATCACTCCATCCTTATCATTATCTAAACTCTCAAATATATACTAATAATATTTTTCCTATTTTATCTATAAAGATTATTGATTCTATTTTTGTATAACTCTTGTATTAGGTCTAAATGTACAATTTTCATCTAAAACATCTAATTTATCTAAATGTTTTTATCTGCTTTTATTTCTTTCAATTTATTTTATCTTACCTTTTAAATATAAATTTTCACATCTATTTTTCTCTCTGAAAGTTTAACAATTATCCATAATTTAATTAAAGGGTTATTAGTTTATAAACTTGTTCCTCTAGAATTATTATTAATTTTCTTTTTACACTGAATGTAAATTATTTTATGAATGAGATTTCTCAAATTTAATTTTGTTTTCAACTAAAAACTCACTTAATTAATATGAAGATTTGAATGGAATAATCTTCTGTCTTATATTAAAATACTTTTCATAACATTAAGCTAAATTACTATATTAAGGTAACACTGTTGCTGACTATATAAATCTTATTAGATTATCAGTAACTAATTGTAAATTTGTTAAATTTAAACCAAATTATATGCAAAACTAAACACCTAACTATTGGGGTGTGAACATAGTATTGATTTAGAATTCTTCCATTTTATCTAAAATCAATATTGATAACATTTAATTGGAATTTTAAAGGCTGTTTAATGAAATCATTTCGAAGTCCTTTATAAATTTCAATTTTTTATTTATAATTAACAAATATATGATTTATAAAAATGTTTCATATTCCTTTATAACAATATTATGTATAATTTAAGTTAGTCTAACAAAATGAATTTGTTATTAATTTATTAAAAAATTATTATAAAATGAGAAAAACAACATAAACTAAATAGTTAAGTTTATTTGACTCAATCTTATCAGGATAAGCTTAAAAAGAAGAGGAAGAAAAGTAAATTAAATATAGTGTAAAGAATCAAAATGAATAAAGTATTTAAAATACTAAATCATTGCATCATTTAGTAATTTATAATAAAATTCTTAGAATGATATTTTTTATTCAAACATTATTGATTATAAGGATTTTAAATAATCTTTGAGATATAATAATAAAAATTTGAAAAAAATAGCATTAGAAAATATTAAAAATCCTCATCCAAAAATTATTAAGAATTTAATAAAATTTGATTTAAGTGGTCTTGTAGAATTAAAATTGATTAGTATAGATATCACTGATTCTAAATTTGAAATGTTTCTAAAAAAAGGAGGTTTATCAAATTGTTTTAAGAAATTAACAATATTAACTTTAAATTGTTAATCAATGACTTCTAATTCTTTAGAATATTTATTTTAAGGAAATTAAATAATAAAGTATTTAGATTTAAGTCATACAAAAATTGATAATTAAGGTATTTATTACCTATCTAAATTATAATGGCCATATTTAGAGACATTCATTATATAATGGTGTAATAAAATAAGTAATTTGAATGAATTAGGAGAGAATGCTGAGAATTTTCCCAATCTTAAAATATTTGATAGTAGATTTGTATATGCAAATAATGAAGCATATAATAAAATAATAAATTCTTAACTTAGTATAACATTAAATAATTTACGTTTATTTGGAACTGATGTAGATTTGGATAATATATAATGGAAATAAAATTTTTTATTGAATTTATTTTTGGAAAAGATAAGAGGATTAAATACATAAGAATTTATTATTCAAAATAATCCAACTTGTGATAGAACAACTAATGATTATAAATAAGTGAGAATAATAACAAGTAAATTAAATGAAATAATATTTAGAAATCTATAAGGATAAGGATTAAGTTATGTCAATAAATCTTTCTTGGAAGATTGATCCTTCTATTGTTTAATTACAATATATAGAAACAGTAGAGAGTAAAGATTAAAAATTTAGTAATTTTGGTAAATTATTTGAATTTTTGTCTAAGGAATGGTAATTGAGAAAGTCTTTAAAAAAAATGATTTTATTTTTTGATAAAATCTAATGTGATGAAATTAATTTCGACATATTATTAAAAACTATAATAGATTTTAAGGAAATGAAATAACTTTAATTGTATATATAGAATTAAATGCTATTGAAACCTGTTAGCTATTATTTTGTGTTTAATTAAATAAGTGAATTACAAAAATTAATAAAATTACAAGTATTTTTTATTATCAATTTCAGCTAGATTTTTAAAATGATAAATTAGTGATAAATGATATTTTGCTTAATAAAATATATCGATCTTTGTAATAGTTAATAAATTTGAATACATTAGAATTAAATATAAGAAACAATAAAATAGTAAATGTTTTGGATTTGTATACTTTCAATTATCAAATTATAACATCAATTTTCAATCCATAATTAAACAATATTACTTTATTAGAGACTACTGAGGATAATTTAAATTATCTATTTTCAGATGCAGCCGATCTATTATATAGTAATCCATTTAAAATTATAAATATTAATAATTTCTAAAATTTTATCTTATAAGAGGATCAAAATAATACAAAAGAAAGATATTTCGAAAGAATAACTAAAGATTATTATAAATAAAAACTAAAATTATTGAAAAGTGCAGTAATTGCTGATTGTTAAAAATTAAATTATCATGGGAGATTTAGAAAGGAATAGATTAATGAAATTTTTTAATATATAATTAATTCTAAATGAATGATCTTGATTCTGGAGATGTTGCAAATAAATTTAGTGACTTTTATGAATTCGAAGAATTTTTGGGTTCAGGAGGATTTGGTAAGGTTGTTTAGGCAAAGAACATCAAAGGAGAAAGTGTGGCTGTCAAAATAGTACCTAAGAGAGAATGTAGAAGAAGCTATTCAGAAATATTAGCAGAAGCAAGCATATTGAGTCAAATGAAACATTCAAATATAGTGTAATTTAAAAGAGTACATGAAACAGATACAAGATTATTAATAGAAATGGCTTTGGTGAAGTACGGGCAATTGAAAAGATTATTTACAGATAAAATTGAATTGAGTTATGAATAGAAAAGACAATTAATGCAAACTTTATTCAAAACAGTGGCATTCATCCATGAAAGAGGAGTAGTTCATAGAGACATTAAACCTGAGGTGAGGATTGTATGTATACTAGAGAACCTTTTACTTGAAGACCCTAACGATATGACCACTTTGAAAATTGTAGATTTTGGATTGTCAACTAGATCTTAGTTACTCATCAGTGGTTAATGTGGCACACTCATTTACATGGCTCCAGAATTCTTTACTAGTAAGCATTACTCTAAAGTAAATATATTATTAAATAGACTAGCCAGTTGATATTTGGAGTTGTGGAATCATATTATATATGGTATGTACAGGTGGAAAACATCCATTATATGTATAAGGATAAACAGCTGAAGAATATAGAGAGAAATTATATTAGCATTTGCAAAATCCATAATGGAATTTCCCTGAAGGTTTTGATTAATTAGCTAAGAATCTTTTCTTGAAATGTGTTGCTGAGGATCCTATGCATAGATATAATGCACATTAAATCTTACATCATCCATGGATTACAGGAAAGGTTAACGATCCTATTCCACTCTCTTTACCTGAGATGTATAAGTCTTTTTCAATGAGAGAGCGTGTAACAAGAATTATTAAGGCTTTAATGGTCATTAGAATGATGTCAAAAGATTATTGGAGATGTGTCAATACTAAGAAAATAGATTCATCTTATTTAGATCAAGTAATTTATTGTTGCTATTTATTATAGTGTAATAAAATCTCATAGGCTCATTAATAATAATAATAATAATAAAGTTTACTTGATAAGTCTTATGTTAAGGAAATGATGGCAGAACATGCATAAATTAAATAAAGATAACACAATCACAATCATAGAGTTGAAACTCCAAAATATTAAAGCATTTTAAAAAGATTGATAGATCCATCTCGAAATTAACATGATTCATATTTAGACTAACCTAATAATAGCTAAATTGTAGATGAAAATATGCTCAATTAATATAATTCCATTAATAATAATCAATAAACAGATGGTTCTTAACGTTCAGTTTCTTAATAAAGTATTTAAGATGCATAAGAATGTGCTGAATCAAATAGTGGCAAACTTATTATTATCAAAAGAAGTAATCAAAATAAAAAGAAAACAAAAAAGATTGTTTAATTTATTACTACAAAAAAATAAAATAATAGTTCAGTTGATTTATAATAGAGATCTAGATCCACAACAGCTAATAATCCAAAATAATTAATGAATAATCTTGCAGAGAACAAATAATTTGAATCTCCTAAGAAAATTTAACTTGCTTCTCTCACTTAATTTTAGTAATAATAACAATCTCAACCACATCTCATTTAGCCTTAGCAATCCATACCATTTCTAAATACTGTCTCATAATTTAATGTGTTAAAACCACTTCCATCTAATTAATCCCCTGTACATAGACTTAGTAGCCATAATGGTGGCAATACTCCTAGTCTTCATAGCATCTTAAATTAAAACACAGAGCAATAGTAACATCAGTAAAATCATAGCTAAGCATATGGTTATATTAGAAAAACTAGTGTTATAACCTAAGATCCAAAGATTGTTGAACCTCCAAGTATGTATTAATAAAATATTTTGCTATTTTAGGAAAAAGGAGTAATACTTCTACTCGGAAATTAAGTGTTGTTGAATTAGATTGTCATGATTAATAAAAATATGAATAATAAGAGAGTAAATTTACATTTATTATCAAAATAGAGATTGTTCATAATTAATTTTTACCTAGAGGATGGTGCAAAACCTTACCATTTTAAAAGTTTCTACCTTCTAAATAAATGCAGGTCCATCCTTAATTTATTGAATTGAATGCTTTGAGATAATAAATTAAAATTCCTTTACCCATATAGCTATAAGTTCCAAAAAAAAAATGAAAAAAATATAATTTAATGATTTGAATAATCAATATTAATATTATTATTATTATTTATATGTAATTAACTTTTAAATTTATTACTGAAAATATATCTAAAATAAATAAATATATATATAAATCATTTTTTAATTTATCTTTGTTTTTGTCCATCAGGATATATTATATCAATATTTCCATTTGGATATTCAATTTATTTTACTTTCTTACTATCTATTCTTTGGATAATACCATCACTAAAAAAAGTTTATTCTTCCCCATTTGTTGAAATATACTTTTCAGTACCATCTCCAAACCGAATTTCCTTTCTGCCATCTGTAAAATGGATTTCAATCTATTAATTCGAAAATCTATAAATCTAATAATTAGATAAATATCTTACATTTGGACCACTGGCTACAGTTATTTAAGTAGTGTGAGCATCAGCAAAAAAATAGATTATCGTTCCATTAGGTAGAGTCTATTTTACATCTTTATTTGTAAAATGAACAATTACATATCCATCAGGGAATACTTCTCTTTTGACTCCATTATGAAAAACAACCTCCTTTTTTCCATTTGCATATTATCTAGAAACTTTACCATCTTAACCTACATTTTAATTAACTATTTTTGATGGCATATCTTTATTCCTTTTATACATTAAATAAAAACGATTTTAATCATATATAAATTCTTATTCACTAATTAAATTATTAATATTTTTGATAGTAAATGGTATATCTTATTCTTACATACTTACTAAATCATACTTTTTTTATTTTTATTAATTTACAATATTAATTTTAGATTTTTAAGTCATTGATTTTTCCATTATATCTTCATATTTTTCAGATAATGCATCACTTTAATTATCATCATCCTCCTCATCATCATCATTTTTTAATTGTTCTTCTTCATCATTATCAAAATCATCTTCATCTTCTAAATAATAACTTTTCTTATCTTATATTGATATTGTTTTTTATTTCAAAGATTAATCATCAGGAATACTTTAAGGACTTTAATTTCTTAATTTTTATGGAAGAACTTCTTTATTAGAAGATAAAACAGATTAATTTGATTTTATTTATATTTATTATGATTTACTTTGTTAAATAGAAGGTTAAGATTAAACATAAGAAGGTTTCTTTTATTCTAATAGTCTTAATTCTAAACATTTAAGTTCTGATTATAAATCTTGATTCTTTTGATTTACTTCTTCATATTATTTTTTAATTCTATCATAAGCTAATTTATTTTTTTAATCTTTTAATTTTTATTCATCCTGCAATTTTTAAACTTGTTATTTAAGTGATTCTATTTCTTCTCTTTCTTTTCTATTAGGAATATTTTAATTAGATTTTGCCTATCTTTCAAATACTCTTTTTTCCCTCAACATCTTTTTTCTCTCTTCTTCTTTCCATTCATCTAATTATAATTTCTCATTTTCTTTTTATTTTTCCCATTCATCCCTTTCTCTTTATAATTGTTTTAATAACTCTTCATATTTTCCTTATGTTTTCTTTAATTTATCATTTTCACTCTTAAATTTAGCTATTTCCATATTAAGATTATTAATTTTATCTTAAACTTAATTTTTTGTACTTTCTTCTTCACTTTCAGAATGATTTGATTTTTCAAATTTGTTATCTTTAACTTCTTTTTTTAAACCAAAATAAGAAGAACTGATTTTTTAATTTTAAGAAACTTAATCTTTAATAAAATCTTCATTATTATCAAACTAATAATCCTTACTGTAATGATGAGATGAATGTTAAATTTCTTATTATTTTTAATGTTCTTTTTATTTTTAACAATACTATTATTAATTTTATTATTTTGGTTTTGGTTATTCTTTTGGTGTTTCTGATCGTTTCATTTTATTTTAAACTTCTCTTTACTCTTATTTTTCAAATCTTTAAGGATTGGATGGTTTTTAAGATTTTCCTTAACAATTTTAATTTTGCATAATTGTATTATTTATTGCATTATTTTCTTTCATAATTTCAGCATGTTCTTTTTTTGCAATATCTGATCTTTATTATGCATTTGATAAAAATTATCTTGTTCCTTTTTTTAAAAATGGTTTTTTCTTAACATTTCCTTATTATTCATTATTTTATTCATAATTATCTATTTGTTGTTTTTAAATAGGATTTCTTTCAGGCAAAGGATCAAAATTTTAATTTTTTGTTGTTTTTATTTATATTTCTTCATAATTTTTATATGTTTTTATTTGATTATCCTCAACAATATTCTTTTATTATTATTTCATATTTTAATTTTGTTTTCCTCTATCATTCACTTAATTATTTTATTTTGAATATCCAATAGTTTAATCTTCTATTGAATTCTGATAATTGGATTTAATTGGAATTTCATCAAATGAATTTTTTTTTGTAGGTTTTATAGGGATTTCATCATACGTATTTTATTTAGCTGGTTTTATAGGAATTTCATCAAATGAATTTTAATTAGCTGGTTTTATTGGAATTTCATCATATTAATTTTATTTTCCAGGTTTTATAGGAATATCATCAAATTAATTCTATTTTCCAGGCTTTACTGGAATATCATCAAAAATATTTATTTTTGTAGGTTTAATTGGCATTTCATCAAATGTATCATATGAATTTTAATAATTCAATTTTTTTTTTGGTTATTCATCAAATTAACTATTTTTTCTTTATATATCTTATTAAATTTCTGATTTTTTTCTATAATTTTCATCATTTTTTATTGTATTTGAAATATCTTCTAACTATTTATGATTAATCATATTATCCTCAAATTAATTTTATTGCATTGGTTTTATTGGCATTTCATCATAAGGATTAGATTATTTTCTATATTAGTTTTCTTCATTAATATAAGTACTTCTATTGAGATTTTTTTGATAATTGTTTTCATTACTTTAATTTCTTTAATTATAATATTTAGTATTTTATTGATCATTATTATTAGTTTGTTTCTAATTGATGCTTGAATTCATAAATTACCTTGATTAATTTCTATTATAATCTTCATTATCAAAATTGTTTTATGATTACTTAATTGAATTTTAATCCTCATCAAATTGATTATTATATCCTCTTTCAACTTATTTTTACTAACCTCTTGATTTCTACTCTAGATTATTATTCTTTTATTGATTATAGTATTCATTTTATTAAAGATTGTAATCATTGAATTCATTTTAGTTATTATTTGAAACTGGAATATCATCAAAATTAAGCTATCTATTAGTATTTGTATAAGTTTCCTAATATTATTATTTGGGATACTTCATAATATTTATTTGGATTATATGCATTAATGAATTGGGAGGTTTATTACAATTGACATTCATCTGGTTTCACTTAATTATAAAACTAATTCATATCATTCACTTTATGCATATAAAATTTCTCTAAATCGAATCCTTCATAAATATATCTCTATACCAGATGAATGACTTTGCATCATTGAAATCATTTGAGATTAAAACATTTTCATCATATTTTACATCATAACATCATTTGGGTTAATGTTTTGTGTGGGAATATCATTTTAGAATATAGACTATCCAACAGTGCTACGCTACTAATACATTAAAAAATTGAATTCAAATTTTAACAAATAATAAGTTCAAAATTTCCTCCAAAAATTCACATACGGATTATCAATCTTCCATTTGATTAATTCTTAATAGTATAGATTTTATTTGTTGGATTAAAATAGATATTCAAAAAAATACATTAATAAACTCTTTCTAGTAAAATTTAACCATTGTTAAAGAGATAAAATCTATGATAAAATAATTATTAAGGATACTTCATTTCTTAATTTTTAATAAAGTTAAAAAGAATTTTTGTTGAATGTTATGACATACTGTTTAAGTTTGTAAATATAAGCTATAAAAAAATAATTTAATATAGGAAATAGCTATATATGACTAATTATTTCTTATAAGTATCTCTATAACATCCCAAATTAAATAAAAATCATTGTTGATAACTATAAAGTAAAAATTGAAATTTATAAGATATATAGAATATAAAAAAAGAAGATATAAAAATTAATAGTATTCAGATTAAATGATAAATTAATTTAATTATATTCAATTATAAATAAATTATTTTTCAATAAATATGAATAATCTTTAAATCTAATCAACCAAATGTATTTTCAAATAATATATATTTCTTTCCAATAGAATTATTAAAAGAAAACGATTAAAATATGAAGATTATTAATTATAAACAATATTTTTAATAATAATTGTATTAATATCGGAAAAATAAAAAAAAATGAATAAACAATAAAAGAATTCAATCAACTATCTTATTTAATTATATCTAAAATATCTATTGAAATATAATAATTGTATTTTTATATTATATTTTATTGTTTAATATTTGATCATACTTTACCAATTCATTATGGTAATTATTCTTTATTTTAATTTAAAATCTTTTATTAATTGAATTTATTAAATTTCTCTTAATTAATAAAACTCTAAATATTAGTTTAAATGTTTTAAGTATTTTTTTACTAAAACTAATAAATAGGTGTTTATTACTCAGTACTAAAAATATTCTACTATGGCTTTTAAATCTAATTTAGTCCATTATTGCCTTCTGAATTACTTCTTTGCTTTCTACATAGTTCTTACGGCTTTTATAATATTTTCTTTATTTACATTATGAGTTTAAATATTTTTACCCTTTTAATTTAGTTATAACAAAATCGAATCAATAGTTATTCTCTTAGATGGATCAATTTGAATCATTTTTTAAACAAGCATTACATATTTTTAATCTAACATAGTCAAATTATTTTTGATTTTTTAGTCAATCTCTTCTTGTGTAATATTAAGAATTTCTTTATAAATTTCTTATCTATTAGATTTCATAAACATGACTTTTTGAGTAAATAATTCATAAATAACAGTACCAAAGGCCCAGATATCTACTGATTAATCATATCCTTAATGATTATTATTTTGTTGAATTTGTTCTGGAGGCATATAATGAGCAGTTCCACATTATAAGGTAAGTGCTAAATCTTTAGTACTTGATAAACCAAAATCACATATTTTATATATTTTTTATGACAAATTTATATTATGATCTTTTTTAACAAAAACAAGAATATTTTCTGGTTTTAAATCTCTATGGATAATTTTTTGTTCATGCAATTCCTTTATACCATTGGCTATTTATTTAATTATATATCTAGCCTCATTTTTATCAAGAGGATGTTTATCTATTTCATTTTATAAACTATTTTCACAATATTCCATCAATAAAAAATATTCATTTGTTTCATGATGTTTTTAAAATTCTATTATATTAACTAGATTTTTAAAGACTTTTTATTTTAACTTTTATAAAATTTCTATTTCTTCTTTTTGAATGGATGATTAAATCTTTAAAGCATATAATTCAAAGGTTTATTTATTTTATATCAGATAGACTAAACCATAACTACCTTTACCTATTAATCTCTTCTTTATATACTCTATTCCTGAAATTGTAAGTAAATCTTATTTTTCAATATCCTTAAAAAATAATGGGAATGTCAGTTTTTATTGGATTTATTATTATTAATTAATGTTTTATGGTTAATGATTAATCCCTTATTGAAATGGATGCTAATTAAAATGTGGAATTTATGGCTGTTATATAAATGTTGGTAATTAATTATTATTCACAAAATTAACTTAAGGATTGTGGAATTATTTTGAATTTACAAAGTTGCATTATGGTGGAATATGATTTTATTGGTTATTATTCATATGTATTATATTTTTAAAAAAATATTTATTCACTAATCAAAATTAAGATCATTTTCTATTAGATCATTAGTCTCTGTTTATTCATACCTATTTCTATTTTTTTATTATTTTAATGCATTCAGTTTATCCTAAAAGTTTAATCCCTTCTTTGATCTTTTTTCTGTAGTCTATTCTATATCAATTTCATCAAGAGGATTCAATCCAAAAACATTAGTAAAATATTCTAATTGCTAATCTTTATTATATTTTTAAAATTCATCAAGATATATATATTCTACATTCCAATCAAATAATTATTCATATATAAGTTTTTATATTTATCTTTCTTTTCTTAAATGTTTCAAAATATTATAATCTTATTCTCCTAATCTAATTTATATATTTTTTTCTTCATTTAATTATAATTCAAAATCTGATGGATCTAAAACTATTAAACCAAATTTTAAATTTTATGTTTTAGTTTTTATTAAATGAGTAACATGAAGCATCATTCCTATCCCTTAATCAAACATATTTATATAAGATTGATTGTATTCTTATTTTAAATTAATATCTTTGCATTATTATTGTAAAGATTATTTTAGCACATCTTTTAGTTCTAATAATTAAGAATCTTTGAAATTATTCAATAAAACAGATGTTTAAGCATAATGAGATACTTTAATAAATTAAGAGATTTTTTCAATTCCTACTTCTAAACTGAGTTTCTCAATTAATATTACCATCCATAAACTCTCTACATATTTATCAATATGAAAAATAGTATTTATATCTAATTCTTTAATACCCATACATGCTTCCTGTATAAGTTCTTTCTTTATTATTCTTTCTTTTGTTAATAAATGTTCTTATAATAAACACCAAGAGATAACAACCCAATTATCTTATTTAAAAAAGAATCTCATTTCATCTTTATATTATTAATTTAAAACTATTAATTAATTATGAAGATGTTCATTCTTTGGATCAAGATATAAAGCCTAATGAAATAATGATTTATGTATAGATTATTTAATTTTAATTTATTATTATTAACAGAATTTATAAAAGTATCTCTAACAATAATTCAAAATGACTTAATCTTCATATGGTAATTCAATTTCCTAAAGATTTTATATAAGTAAAATTGATAATTTAATTTATTCTAAATGAGGTAATGACATTTAAAGAGTTTATAATATTGCTACTTTTAAAGGAGTTGAAATCTATTTTAAATGATCAGATGTTAATTAGATTGGTATTTAAAGTTTTGATTACATAGATGCAATTGTTAAATATGCTAAATAAGTTGGTTTAATCTATTATTATTATTATTAGTCTTTATTAAGTCTATTAATTATAATTTCATTTAATAATTTTGTTAAATCAAAAGTTTCAGAATTATTTGAAGCATTTAAATATAATAGAGTCAATTATCTAATTGATAATAAATTTTATCGTATTATTAATTATTTTGAAAACTTATCATATAATTCTGCATTTCCTTTTCTTGATTTAAGGAAACTCCAAAAAATTGAACAAAATTATTTATCATTAACTTTATCTATCAATTCAATACAAGCTCCCTTAAATGATAACATAATTATATATTACTTCTATTTTATGCTAAAGAGATTTATCATTATATTTAAAATAATAATTCATTGTTGCTCTACATAATTTAACTAAATCATGAGGTAATAGATTTTTATTAGATGGAAATTATTCAGCTAATTATTCTTCTATTACTAATTAAAATGCATTTGAACATATATTTGGTATAAATATATATTATGCTAATTTTATAAAATCTGAAAAACTATAATCTCTTATTCTTTACTAAACTTATTTCTCTGTTACTGCATATATTCCAAATCCTCCTTTTTGATTGTCTGGACATTTAGAATATAGATATGAATAATAAGCTAATTTCATAGGATTTATTTCATGTTAAGCAATCTTTATCACTTATGCTAATTAACCATAAAGAATTGCTGAACCATAATGACAATATTAATAAGCCCATAATATTTTTTCTACATCTTAATAATTTATTATTTCATTTTTATCAGATAATCTATCATATATTTCATTTTCCATTATACGAAAAAAATCTTAATCAAATCTTTTTACATAAGCATATTATTCTAATATTATTGCAATTTAACTAAATGTCAATTTTTCATACTTCTTTGAAAAATATTTAATAAAATAATTATAAATGTCATTCTTTATTAATTCTTATGTTGTTTATGTTTTATTAAGTAATTAATTTCTTTAAGCTTAATCTTATTCTCCCAATACTTTTATAATTCTAATTGCATCATTTGGCTCAATATAATGTCTCTTGATTTTCAACCACAATTAAGGATTATATTATCCTACTTTTATTTACTAAATAAATTTCTCTTCATGAGTCTCTACCACAGATTTTATGGCAGACTAAATTTCTTTTAAACTAAGAATATCAGAATGCAAATCAATTTTTTAAGAGTAAAGAAACTTTATTACTTTTTTAAACATAATTATTTTATAATTTCTTTATTTATTCCAAATAAAGAAATGAAAAATTGATTTCTCAAAAATTTTGTTCAAAGAAATAGATTCTATTTAAGTTCCTCTCTTTCCATAAAAGATTCATTCATCTATATTTATTAATATATTTTTATACATAGCTTTAATGTTAACTATATTTAAAACTACTATGACTTAATCTTCTTTATTTATTGAATGCAGCAGGTGTATAATAATAATCATCACTTTAAAATAAGAATATTATTTACTTTTCATATTTCTAAGGAGTTTAAGTCCATTATAAAATATGTTATTTATTTGTATTAACATTATCTTTTTATTATTTTTTGAAAAGAAGATATTTTTTATGCATTCTATTTCTTCTAGGATGTTTTATAATTGTTCTTATTTTTGAATCATTCTTTCATTAAAAATCAAAATTACATAATGTTATTTCCTTAATGCAGTGCTCTCTCTACTCTAAACAACAGGTAATTTCTTAGGTTCTTCAATTTCTTCTTCTGAATCTGTTAACAAACTAACATAGGTTTTATTTAAAAATATAATCTCAAGGGCCTTTTTTTCAAATTCAATCTGAAACTGATCAAAATAAGAAGGTCTTTCTTCATAAAATTATAAGATACAACCCTTTTAGTATAAACTATTATTTAATATTCTATAGTTTTTCATTGAATTCTGAAATTCTCTTTTTCATACCTGAATTCCAATGATTTTTAATTGCATTATCAGTTCTTCCTTCTAAATGTTTAGCTATTTCTGCCCATTTGTTACTAATTGCTTTATGATATAGAAATAGAATCCATTCTTCTTCATAATCCCAAGGTGATTTCTTAATTAATGGATTCAAATGATTATGCCATCTATTCATATTATCATAAAAGAATGACTACCTTTCTCTACATTATTTTCCAATCCTTCCTGGTAATTTGGATGCAATAAAAGTCCATTTATGAGGACCATACAATTCAACTAACTGCATAACTTATGAATCCTCATAATCAGTCCAAGGTTCTAATGTTTAATATGAATAAATACTTTTTTTTGTTTTCTCTATTTTCTTCCTCATTTTTTAATTTTTTTGAAATAATTTATTTAACTGATTAATAATATTTCATAAAATTAAATATATATTATATAATTAAATGAAAAAATGCTCATATTGAATGTTATTTAATAGATACCAAATATCAGGATTAATATTGTTTGATATGAATAATATTTCAGATATTCATATATATATGATAATAATGCTTCCTTTTTGTAATTCATAAAGTATGTTTGTGAATAAGTTTATTAATATTTCTTCATTTCCTCTTTAATATTCAATATCAATATAAGAAAATTTGTCTTTGGTATATATGATAATTTCTACTTATGTTAATTCTATAAATACTAGATCCAATTCATATAAAATTTAAACTAAGTGTTTTTATTAGAATTTACATAACAAGTAAATTCTTGTAACAAATTTGTAAGCATACTTTGGAACAAAGTTGTAAGCATACTTATCTTAATAGATTGGAATTAAGTAGAATGAGCTCTGCTTTATATGTAAATAGACATCAATTTCATGTATCAACTACCTTTGAAGGTTAAGGACTTTTTAATGAAGAGAGAAAGCATCTTATAACTTTCTCTCATTAAATATTATCTTAGTAATACTATGGTCTATTATCAATAAGAATTTGCTGGGTTATGTTTAGACATCCCTAAAATTTACAAAAATTATTAAAATAATGTAATATTTCATTTATTCATGAAGTTGAACTATTTGTAAATACTTTATTGTTAGAAATTGAAAATACTTTGTGTAAGTTATCAATAATGAGTATGGATAGTTTCATTTAATTTTAATAGTGATGTTTTATAGTCTCCTATTAATTGATGATAAAATTCAAAAAGTTAAGATAAGCCTCAAATATAAGATACTTTAATAAATAATTGCATATCTAAACAACATAAGACAGACTTATGTGATTTAGAATCTCAAACGAAATAACATTTAGTACTTTTCGAATTTATTAGTAATTAACCAAATTGGATCTAGTTATTTATTTGACTCAAAATTTTAATATAAGAAATTTAGATATTAAGAAGAACAATAAATAAATGCTCAGAGAATTTTTGTTTAATAAATAACAAATAATTGAAGTTAGAGTAATGAAGAAAATAATAATAGTTTCAAAATTTGATTAAATGAAATAAATAATAGTTAAATTAATAATTAAGAATAGCTAATAATCCATTTGCATTATAAAAATTGTAAATTAATTTCAAAAAACCTCCATAATCATAAAATTACGATTAGATAAATAATGATTATTTGATGCTATTTAATCTAAATACACAAGATTAAAATTATTTAAAGAAGTATTTTAATCAATAAAAAAACGATAAATTTAAAATTAACCAATTCTTATTAAGGTTAAAGAGTTACAAAACATATAAATCTAATAAATGCTTAAAGATTAAATTAATAAGAAATAGGTGAATAATTATAATAATGATTATTTATTTATATAATTATATAAAGGTTTGACCTTTTGAGAATGAACTTAAATCATGAGATGCTGCATTTTTTACACCAACAATCTGAATTATTAAGTCCTACATCTTGATCTATTTCAGGGGTTGTTATTTCATAAACTTATGAATTAATAAGAGATTATTACAAGCATCCTCAAAATACTATTTATTATAAGGTATTTAATAGTGCTTTTCTATTTCTTATAGAACCTCTTCAATATGAATGATGAGTGTAATTACTTATTCTCTTGTATTTATGTTTGGATCATCTATGATATCTTTCAATTACTACATTTTAAATCCTAAAACTTCAGCATATATTTTGCTTTTGATATTGATAATTAATTTACTTAACAATTGGTTCAAATTGTATAATAATTTATTTCAAACCTTTTCTATCTTCATATTTTTATTTAATTTAACCTATTAATATTATTGAATTCTCATGTGCAAACTCCTATAAATGTTTTTGTGTTATATTTTATTATTCATTTTATAATTTATTGATATTCAATATTTTCATTATAATATTGAATATTATTAATATTAATATTCGTTTTTAATGAGAGTAACATCATTATTGTTGATACTTCTAATAAACAGTGTTATAGGCACTAAATCAATTTATGAAATATCATAAAATGAATATGGAAAAACAGTGCTTTAAGCAATTTAATTAACATTGAATGAGGAACCAGCCTCATTTGGAAGGACAATAGATTTATTATAAGAATTAAAAAAGGGAATTCAAAATGATTAAGATGAAGATTCTGGACTTTTAGCTGAAAGATTAGAAACATGTGAAACACACATATCATAAAATTCATAAACAATATCAGATTCATAAACAAAATTAGCATAAGCTTAAGAATAAGTTGATCCACTTGAATAAAAATTACTAGATAAAAGACATTAAGCAGAAGATAAGGAAGGTGAAGAATAAAGAAACAATGATAGAATAAATAAGTTGATTTTATAAAGATAAGAATCTAGATAATAATTTGAAAGTAAAAGAGATGAATTAACATCTATTGTTGGAGCATTAAGTGAAGCTAAAAAAATTATTGGTTCTATTAAAACAGATCCTACTGCTTTAATTTAATTAAAAAATCATAAAGAAAATATATGTAATTATTAAGAAAGTAAAATTAGTAAATTAAATTTAAAAGTCATCAATGTTTTATACTTTGATTCATTCAACACTTTCTTTAATATAATAAGGAACAAGTCAAGAAAAAGTAATTAGAATTATTGATGATTTGATTGATGAAGTTTATTAAGTTTAGAAATTAGAAATGATTGCTGATGATCAAAGAGAAGCAGACTTTATTAAAACTAAGTAATTTTAGATTTTAATATTTTAGAATACGTTTTGAATTTGCAAATACTAGATTAAATACTAAAATTGCTGAATTAAGAGCTGATGTGCAATAATTATAATAATAATTATTACAATTAAATAACAATATTGCAATTTATTAAGACTTAGTCAATCTTAAAACTAAAGAAAATGCAGATTGGCAATAATCTTGCAATGATGCATAAAATAGTCATAATGGATTGACAGATTATAGAACTTAATAAATTACAATTATTGATGAGTGCATATCATTATTATAAGGACATGACCCAGAAATCACATAATTTATTTAGAGATTTGTTTGAAAAAATATTAATTATTCAAAAAGATGCTTAAAGCAACATCTAATATATAATATAAATCTAGGTAAAGTAATTCTTACTAGAATTTTATCTTTATCCATTTTTATAGTAAATATGAAATTAATTATAATTATATGAACTTTATGAATACTCATTCACAATTTAACTTTTCAAGAAAATCATTGCCTAGACCTTTGATATCTAGATAGCTTACAAGGGAGAAGAGTTAACCAAGTTTTAAACCAATAACTCCATCAGTAAGTTACTAATAAGAATATTTTAGACCAAATTTCGTATCTCAAATACTAATTAACAAATGAATAGAGAGAAGATTTAAAAAGCCAATGGCAATTATTTTAGTTAACATGATGATACAAGTGGTAGTACTAAGATGTCAAAAGCACACACTTAATAACTGTTGAAAAAGAATGAAATAGAATTTAAGTAGTCTTTATTTGATCAATAAGACAAGGAAGAAGAACTTTAATTTATATTACTATGTTAAACTCTTGAAAAACTGTTGTGATTATTTAATAAGAAATGATAAAATATTATTTGTTTTATAAGCTTTTGTTTATAATAAATAATAATAAAAATATGTACCGATAATACGATTACACATATTCTCCATCTAAATCATCTAATACTATAGATGATATGGAGCTTAGACTTAATGCAGTAATTAATGCAAATGAAAAATTGGTACTTTTTTATAACTAAGATTTATTATAGACTTTACTGTTAAAAGAGAAAATTTAAGAGAATGATTAACTGAAGGAAAATATTGATATTCTTTATAATAATAATCAAGAATTATCTGAAATTAATATAGAACTGTGTGAATAAATCAAAAAGTGTAAAAATTAGAAATGTACTTCACTTCATTAGAAAAATCATATTGAACTGGAGAAAGAACTCTAAAAATTAAAAGAAATTATAACATAAAAGGATAGAGAATTAATAAATTATTAACATCACTTTGAAGAAGACTTGCAGTTAGAAATTACTTAAAAAGATTATGTAAAAAATAAAAAATAACGTATTAGATTGATAAAATCAAAGGTTTAGAAGATCAAAATTAATAATTAATACATGAATTAGACTTGGTCACTAAAAAGTTAATTGAAAGCTAAAGAGGATCATTAACTAATTATGAAAATAATTAGTTAGCATAATAATATGAATCAATAATTGAAGATTTATAATAGAAAATAGAATAGATGAATAAGTTTCTATTTTAGAAGGATGAGGAGTCATCATAAAATTATAATAAACAATTTTTAATACAAATGGAATAATTATAAGTCGAAAAGATAACCTAATCATTATAATTAGAAGAATAGAAAAAAAAAATTAATAAATTATAATAAGAGTTGGAAGATAGGAATATTATGATTGATTAATTGAAGAAAAATTATAGTCTAAATTCATCTAAAAATGAAATTTTACAAAAATAAAATATGCTTTAGAATAAATAAAAATATATTAAAATAGAAGAGAATGTATTAGAATTGAGTGATGATATAGAAACAACTATTAAAAGAAGATCTAATTTTGATTATTAAAATGGAAAATATATTTCATAAGGAAAAGGTTTTATGGAATAAAAGAGTCCTCGTTCTTAAATTTCAGATTAAGATTCTTATTTATATTTATATGAAAAATTATAATAAGATATGTAAATCAAAGAAAAATAATATAATGATCTTATTGTTAAAAAATAAATAGCAGATAATGAAATTTTAAAATTAATGAATTTAATTAAGGATTTAGAATACTCAATTTAAGAGAAATAATTATTAATAGAACAATAAGATAATGAAATTAAATCTCATAATCGTAGTATTAGAAAGAAGGAATCAGAACATAAGAAAAATATAATTAAGTAGTAAGATGATATATAAATTTATGAAGATAAATTGAATGCACTTGAAAATCTTAGAAATGAAGAACTCTAAATTTATGAGTAATAAATTTCTTAAATTCAAAATTAATTAAAATAAAAAGAATTAGAACTTAAAAAATTATAAGATTTAGTTAAAGATAAAAATAAATTATAAACTAATTTATAATCTCTTATTGAAGAAAAGAAAGAAATATAATAAAATTTAGAATAGAAAGATTAGAAAGAAGAAGATTTGAAAGCTAAAATTTTATTGCTTTAATAGTAACTTAAAACAAAAGAGATAGAAAATAAAAGTTTAAGAGAAAAAAGTTAAAATTAAAATAAAATTTATGACTTAGAGAGTTAGATAATTTAACTAAAATTAGAATTAGAATAAAATTTAATAAATGCAGAAGTTTAAACTGAAATTATAATAAAAAATGAATAATAAATGAAAATGAAAGAATTTCTTATTAATAAATTATAGGATTAATTAAAAGATGCAAGTAATAAATAAAAAGAATTAATAACAGAAAGAGAACTAGAAAATTAGAGAAATTATTAATAAATAGATGAATAAAATGATCTATTAAGAAAATAAGAATATGAAATTAAAAAATTACAAAATCTAATATCTTCAAAACCATTAGAGAAAACTTTGAATATTCAATCTGAAAATTTAGTTTTAAAAGAATAAATAGAAGAATTTATAAATTAATAAGCAAAGTTAGAATAATAAGTAATGATATTAGAAACATAACTGAAAGGAAAAGATTAAGAAATAATTATCACAAGTTAAAAACAAATTTTATCAAATGCAGAATTATAGACAAATATGAGAAAGTAGGAGGCTGATTATAATGATAAATTAATAGAAAAGGAATAATTAATTTAAGGATAATTAAAATAAATATAAGCATTAAAATAAGAGAATGAATAATTGAATGAGAAAATAAATAATTAATCTAATATAATATAAAATCTTGAGTCTAAATATGCTTAATTAGAATAAAAAGAATAATTTTAATTGGAAACTCATAGATAAGAAATATAAAAGAAAATTGAATAAATTCCACTAAGTGAAGATGGTACTACTCTAAGTGAATTAAATTCGTATCGTATGGATGAATTAAAAACTTTTGCATCTTAATTGGAATCATAAAATAAATAAGATTTAATATAATAAATTTTAGATTAAAAAATTGAATTAATATAGAAAAATGAATAATTCAACAATTAAGTTTAAATAATTGAAGAATAAAAATAAGAAATTAAGGTTAATGAAGAAGAAATTTAAAATCTTAGAGATCTTTTAGAAACAAAAAAAAATCAATAAGATGAATTAAAAAGTTATAAACAATCTATTGAATCTCTTGAAAATTAATTAAAGGTTAAAGAATAAAGTCTAAAAAAAGTTTAAGATGAAAATAAAGAATTGTAATAACAGAAATAAATAGTTGCTTAATAGAAAAAATAAAATGAAACCTAATAATAAGAATCCAAAAAATTATAAGATACTATTATTAATTAAGAACAATTAATGAAAGTGAAAGATGAAAATCTAAAAAAGTTGTAAGATTAACTTAAAGAATTAAACAAGAAAAATGAATAATTTTCAAGAGATTTAAATTAGAATAAAACCTTAAAGGATTAAATTGAAAAGCTTAAGAGTGTTCTAAATTAAAAGGAAGAAGAACAAAAGAATCTATTGAATTAAATTGGTAATTAAAAGAAATAAGAAGAACAAATAAAAAAATTATAGTAATAAATTGAAAAAGAAACAAAAACAAAAAAAGAAGAAATTGAAAAACTCTAGAATGAACTTAATTAATCAAATTAAGAATTAAAGCAATTATAATAAATAAATTAGAATTTTTTAAAATTAGAGGATTAAGTTAAAAAACTTTAATAATAATTAGATTAGTAAACAGAAAAAAATAAAAAACAATAATTAGATTCTGAAAAGAAAGAATAGGATCTAAAAAAATAGTTAAAGGAAACAAATGAATAATTATCAGAATGGGAATAAAATGATCTTTCCAAAGATTAACAAATAGAAAAACTTAATAGATAAATAGAGGAATTTAAAAAGAAAGATGCTATATTATAAAAATAAGGAAAAATTGTAAAAGAACTATAAGAATAGTTAAAATAAGCAGAAAAAGTTAATATTGAATTACAAAAAGAAAAAGAGAATAAGGAATCTGAAATAAATTGTTAAAAAGAAAATTTAGAATAAGAAATTAAAGATTTAAAAGAATAAATAACAAAGTTATAAAAATTGAATGGTGAACTTTTTATTTATGAAAATATCATATAAGTAGATGTACGTAAAATGTAAGAATTGTAAAAGAAGATTGTATGTTTAGAAAATTATTACTCATAACAAGGTTCAAAATAAAATATAGAGACAAAAAGTTAAGGAGTAACTCCTAGAAAATAAGCTAGAGGTAATTCAGCTATGAAATAAAATGATGATTAGATTTCATAAATGTCATTTGAATAATTATAGTTGCATGCTAAAAAATTAGAGTAAATAATAAAAGAAGCAGGATTAAGTAATAATATAAACTGATATATATATATATATTTTATAAAATAAGTATAACTTCATTATTTCATTTTATCAACAAATTACTTAATTTTGTCAAGGGCACTTTAAGGTATTTCTGTTTCAAATTCAGCTAATGGGACTGTTATTGTTTCTCTATTAGGATAGGTTAACATCTTTATTTTATAAATAAGAAATTCTTTTATTATATCATTTGCAACAGATATGTTATATTTAGATATAGTAGGTTCAATACTAATATTCATAGAAGGTTCTCCTACAAATGAAACCCAACTACGGCCAATAAAATTGGGTGTATAACACAATCTTAATCGACCATTTAAAGATGTTATTTTAACTTTAATATTAACAGGTAAATGCTTTTTAGCCCAACTTATAGTAACAAAGGTTTCTAATTCCATATAGAAGAAACCTCTAAATGATAATTCTAAATCAAAAATACAAGAATTAGTATTTTTTTATGGAATAAATTACAAAACCTCTGGAGGTTCTCCTCCTATATCTATAAATGTTACATATATTTCATCTAATTAGGATGGTCTCTTTTTATTCAAAGATCTGTATAATTCAGTCATAAATTTCTATCTAAAATAGATGGATTTAGTCCATTATAGAAATAATACTCTTATTAATTATTTTAGTACAAATGTCTCTTTCATTGAATTTACTGTATCATTTGGTTACTTAGTTAATTAACTATTAGATCTAGAGCTAGTTTTAGGAATAGTTGTTGTATTATTATGGATTAAACTTTAAGTTTAATTGATTTGGATATCTTTAGGAGTGAATGATATGTTAGCTTAATTATCAAGTAGACTTTTGACTATTTAATCTTATTATTAATAAATTTAATCAACTAAGAATATTTTAGATAATTATTACATTCATCAATCATTTTCATGGTATGATTAACAATACACTTTGAAAGAGTGGCAAAAGATAAAATAAATTGAAATTTAGTTTTGGAAATTATTTCAAAATGTTAATCAATATAGTGTTTATACTTATTTTCATATTAATTTAGTTTTTTTTTTAATTATTCTGCTTCCTATTGATATTAATTATAATTTTATTTAAATTATTATTTCATTCTTTAATAATCTGTGAATCCATCCACTTTAATAGAATTAAATTTTTCAGAATCCTTCAAAATGCAATTAAATAAATAGGTAATATTATTAATCCTCTCTTTAACAGATACTTAAGTATCTTTATATTCTTTATATAATTTAGTTCTATCTTCAATAAAATTATTTGTAATCATTTTAATTTAAGCAAATAAATTTTAATAAAATAATCTATCTTTAGGAAAACTTTTTGTAAATAAATCAGTTATCCAAATATCTTTTAATTAAATTAATTGTATTTTAATTTCATCTGATGTTATTTTCTTAATTACTTCTCCAATTTCTATAAAAAAATCTAAACATTCTCCATCATATTTTTCAAATTATTGAATTTGATCTTCATAAATTTTAAATTTTTTTATTAATTCTTAAAGTTCTTCTTTTTCATTTCTCATTAATCTAGGAGGATCTATTTCATCTAATGATACAGTTCTTGATTATCTATATATTATTTAAGTAGGAGCATTTGTTTAACTCTAATTCAAATGTGAATCAGTTTATGCATTCTATAATTTTAATATATTTTTAAATGACTTCATATATTGTTCATAATTATCATAATGAGTTTATAAAAGTGATCGAATGACAGTTTGATACATTACAATAAATTATCTATCCCAATTATCTTTAAATTCATTTAATTATTAATTTGTTTTATTAATTGCTACTTGTAATTCTTTAAGTTCATACTTAGAACTTTGTAATTTATGTTAAATTGTAGATAATTATTATGTGGATAATTTTATAGACATTTCCATTTTAATTAATTTTTCAGGATTTGTTTTATTCTTTTTTAATTCTTTATATTGAGAATTATTGGATTCTAAATCTTTTTCAAGTAATTGTTTTTATCCTTCATAATTTTAATTTTTACGAAACACTTCATCATATTAGGATTGGGTTTAATTTTTTAATTTCTTAATATTTTTATATTCATCAAGATAAGTTTTCTAAATAGATTGTATTTGAGGTTATGCTACTTTAAGAATTTAATATCGTTATTATTAGAATATTTAATTAAGTTATTTAATTTACTATTTTATATTATTCCAATTAGGTACTATAATGTTTCTACCTTGAATTTATATAAATGAATTAAGTAATAATTATTATTCATTATTTAATTGTTAAAATAAGATTTTATGTTATTAAGATGTATCAATTTGATCTAAAATTGATAAAGATTCTTTTTTGGCTAATTTACTTAATATAGAAGCTTAATTCTAAAGTTCAAAACTCTTTTCTAGATTTGAATAATAAGCTAAAAGAGAATCTGTTAGATTAGTCACACATTGATATTTTTAGAGTAAACCTTTTCTGTCTAATTTAATGAGAGGTAGTTTTTAAGAGCCAAAGTAATTCTTGATTTAATTTAGATATAGATCAGCTTATTGCTATATTCTACTCTTTTATGCAGCAGGAATATCATCAATTTATTCAACTTATTCATTGATTTCAACTTGACTTGGTTCATAGGCACTAAGTGATAGTGAAGAATCATTAAGTTTATCAGAGTCATCAGGTATATATGATTGAAAATTAGTAGAATGATTGATCAAAGAAGCTATTTATTTGAATCCTATTGTCAATTTAGAGTTGTTAATTCTTTTTAACATACGATAACGTAATATCCAAATGAATCCTAGAATCTCAATGTAAATTGTATACAAGCTTCCATATAAAAAATAAATGTAATTGTTTTGGTCTAAAAGTGGAATTAAGAAGGCAATTGATATTATCAATAATGTAGTAATTAATTTCATTATTTTATATATGTCAATTAAATAAAAACTATATTAAACTTGGCATAGATTCTTATAAACAAATTTTAATAGTTATTTAAGAAGTGCACCTACACCAGGAAAATAAAGATTGTATAAACATGTTGATATATAAAATGAATTTGATAAGTTTGAAAAGGAAAGAAGAAAGTAGAGATTATAATTAATTGAATATAAGAATAAATTAAAAAAAAGAGTATTAGAAAAGGAAATTGCTTTAATTAAATAATTTGAATCAAGTTAAATTGATTATGTTTCTACTAATGCTTCACTTGAAAATAATAATATTAATAAAGATGTCACAATGGATGAATAAAGAAGACAATCTCTTATTAAAGAATTGGAAATAATCAATAATTAATTGACTTAAATTGATAAAGAAAAGGAAGAATTAAAGATTTTAGAGAATGATATTGCAGAATTAGAACCTAATATGGTAATTTTAAGAGGCATTTAAAAAAAAACTGTATTAACCATGATTAATTATATTGAATTTCAACATAGACATGTTTCAGGTTTGGTTTTGAATCCAGAAACAATGAAAAATATTGAGACTGTTCATTATCATGTTATGAATAATCTACCAATTCAAAGAGAAAAACTTTATGAAGTTGTTCCAGAATTATTTTAGGAAGAAATTGGAGAATTAGATGAATATAAATAAAAATTAATTTAAGAAATTAGACCTACTTTAGATGTATAAGAGACTAGTGTAATTTAAATTATTGAAAAGAGTAGAATACCTGAATCAAATGATCCTATAGTTACTTTATTAAATGAATAAAGAGAAATGATGATGTTTGTTTATAATAAATGTACTCATTTTTGTAATAAATATGATGATTGGATAGAAATGGTATATATATATTTAATATTTTGTATATTAGAAATTAAAATAAGGATTTCCAGATATTGATGCTATTATTGAGAATTTGTTATTGAGAAAAGATTTAAGTGGAATAGATCTTGAGGTATATGAAGGATATAAAGAATTAGAAAAAATAAATGATGATTATCATGATCTTTTAGAATTGAATAAAATTAAAATTAGAAAAGAATAAAATAAATTAGAAATGCCTCCTTTTGTTGAATCTCATGAATTATTAAGAAAAGTATGGACAGAAAAATGGGAAGCTCATGTTAAGAATTCTCTAGATTTTTCCTAATCAATATTAATTCCTCATAATACTTATGAATCTAAATTAGATTAAGTATTAGCTGATTATAAAAAGCATGATATATAAGATTTGATTGAATAATGTATTAAAATATAATTTAAATAAATCTAGCAAATCAAGCTCTTAAAGAGAAATTAGGAGGAGATTAACCAGTTTAATATTATGATAGAAAAGATAAAGATATAAATTTAGTCAAATAAATATAAATTTTAGGAGATATTATGCATTAAATTCCAACTCATGAAGAAGAATTAAAAGAATTATAAAAAAAAGCTGAATAATTTGATAAATTATAAATTGATGATAAAACATAGATATATAAAAGTGAAGAAGGTAGAATTTTATTAACAGAACTTCCTAAAGTATTACATTTAAATAATAAAGATCCAAAATAAGTAATTATAAATCATAATTTAGTATAATTTATTATTTTGGGCTGAACACTTTAATATTGAACCTTAAAAATTGAGAAATATCTTCAACTTTATACATTATCCAATCCTAGATTAATAAAATAAGGAAGAAAAATAAAAGATATTAAAATTTATATATTAATGAATAAGACAACAATAAATTCAACGTTTATATTTTGAAATTTCCCTTAAGAATAATTCTCTCAATCTTGGAATTTGCAATTCTCCTTCTTATTCAAAATCTAAGATAATTGGTCCTATTTATTAAAATGTTATTTATACCTGGTGCAACTATTTCCTTCTTTTTATCTCTTACTTTTTAAAGCATTGGATGCTCAATAGCTTAATCAAGAGTAATTCTCAATTTTGGACTAAATTATAGACATTTATCTAAAAAATCCAATGCTTCAGGAGGAGCACCAGGAAAAATATCAACAAAGGCCACTTTAGGTTTCTTGGGGAAACTCTTCAAATATTCTATAGCTTTTTTATCAGTTACAAAGTCCATATCCCTATAAATTATTTAAATAAAATATAACTTTTCTCCTGGAGTGCCTAAAACAGAAAAAATTACTGTTAATTAATCAGTATTAGAATATGGAAATCCACCTTTTTTAGCAATTGCACTTCTTTCTGGACTCAAAGGAAAACAACTTGTTCCTGGAAATAGAGGAGCTCTATCAAGAAATGTTGGTGCATTCTCTTTCATCATGTTTAATAATTCTGCAAAGATACAACCTACAGACCAAACATCTATAGCTGCAGTATAATCTTTCTCTAATAAAATCACTTCAGGGGCTCTGTACCAACGTGTTACAACATGACCTGTTAATTCTCGCTTAACGGCTTTTGCATTCAATTTATTTTATTTTTAAAGCATTCTAGGACCTTTCTTATCATCTTTCTTTTTTGGTTCTTCTTATTATCTTGCCATTTCTTCTTCTAATGCTTGATCAGAAACATCAATTCCTAGAATAATAAATTTTATACCTTGCACACTTCTAGCCAATCCAAAATCACATATTTTAACAGTACAATCTTCATTCAAAAGTACATTAGCTGGTTTCAGATCTCTATGTAATACTTTGGCTGAATGTAAATATTTAAGACCAACACATATATTGTAAATTATAGTTTAAATATGTAAAAACTACAAATGTATTGGTGATTTGAATAATTTTTTTAAGTCACTCTTTTCTAAAATAATATAAATTACTTGTGCATATTCCATTACAACATAAATGGTATCAAATTTGAGATCAGTTGGCTCTAAGATTTCAATAATCTAAATCAGGTTTTGATGTTTTAATTCTCTTAGAATAGTGATTTCTCTTAGAATTCTTTTACAATCAATCTCATCATCAAATATTCCTGTTAATCTTGATAATCAAAACTTTTAAAACCTTTTGATTGCCACCTTTTTGTTAGTTGATTTCTGTAAAGCTTCTACTACTTGACCATATGATCCAGAACCTATTTGTTTTATAATTTCATAATCATCTCCAACTTGCCAATCTGAAAAATTTTTGGGAAGAGAAGACAATTTCTGAAGTTTCTGACCGTCCTGCATTAAACAAGTTTTAAAAAAAATAAAATAATTTAATGATTCATTTATGTATTGGAATTATGTAATTTAATAACTTAAATTAATTAAAGATTTATAAAAATGATTATTCATAATAATTTATTACATTCAACTATGATCTTTAATATATATATATATATATCAATAAGAAACTGTTATCTTGATAATTAGTTAATTTTTATTTAATCAATTAAAGTAAATTTTATAATGTTAAGTGAACAATAAATTTTATAAATAGTCTTAGCTGCTGATGGTATAGTACTACACTTTTAATTTTACATCACTAACGAGATATTATATTTAATAATAGGGTTATCATCAGTAGTTTTTCATGGAATATTATTTCTAATTGAATAAATGATAAGAAATCAGCTATTGAAGATGTCTTTAAATATACTTAAATTAGTACAAATATTTATTGTTTCTTAAATGTTGTATCGATCTTGGATGATATATGTAGGAATTCAAATAGTTTGCATACTCAAATTTAACTAAAAACTAACAAGATTAATGATATTCATTTTATTTTGCATTCATTCAACATCCCTTACTTTTGCAAATATGAATTATTTAGCAACTGGAATAGTAAGAAATTGTTTATGTTACTTTTTACTTTTATGTTTATTTAAAAAACAATCTTACACAATTGATTAAATGGAAGGGATAATCAACTAAATAAGTTCAGATATTTTCATTATTCTCGACAATAATTTTATTCCAGAGAATGAATAAGAGAATTTTCAAAATATCATGAATGATTATGTTCTAAGAAGTGGGGATGAAAGAAGTGATCGTATTATAACTAATAGAGAATAATATAGTGTTGGTATTCAACCAAAATTAATAGAAGAAAGAAATACATTTCAATTTAAAGCAATTTTCAATCACTTAAAAACAACACTAAATAATTGGTCAGATTAAACATATGAAACTTAATCTAATTATATTATAATAGTTAAGAAAGTATTTATTAATGAAAATATCATTTAAACCAAATATTTTAAGTGTTTAACAATATAATAAGATTATTTTTTCATTATTTAGAAAAAGTTAAAACCTAATTTTCCAAGAAAAGAGCCTTAAATAGATAATACAAAAGAAAATTTAAAAATTTTAAGCAAAGTATCACATGATATGAGAACTCCTTTGAATGCAATAATAAATATGTAATTATGTTTAAAGGATTAAATTGATAAAGCTTTAGCTGAAAGATATTTAAAACCTTCACTTAATTCTTGTAGATTACTTTTAAATTTAGTAAATGATATATTAGATTAAGCTTAGCTGTAAAATAGGAAAATTCGTTTAGTATTCAAAAAGTTTAATTTAAAAAAGCTAATCAATAAAACAATATCAATTTTTGATATATAGAAAGAGAAAAAAGAATTAACCATTATATTAAAATATGAAGACAATGTACCTCAGTTCCTTAATAGTGATAAAAATAGAATTAGATAAGTTATTATGAATCTATTAAGCAATGCAGTTAAATATTCAATGGCAAAAGGATAAATAATAATTTCTTGTGAATATATGAAGAAATCCTAAACTTTTAAAATTTAAGTGAGCGATACTGGTTTAGGTATTAAACCTGAAAATTTAGATATGCTTTTTCAAGAATTTGCAAGAGTTGAAGACAAATAAAATTAAGAGAAAAATCCAAATGGTATAGGTTTAGGATTATTAATAAGTAACGAATTATCAAAACTATTATCTTCTAATAATTAAGGGATTTCTGTTAAATCTTAATATGAAAAAGGAGCAACATTTTCTTTTCAAATATTAAATCAAAAACTTCCTGATGAAGATTTATCTGATTCCTTAGTTTCAGAAGTTGCTGCTTAGGAAGTAAGTCACTTGCCTGAGTCACATTTTTTCAAGTAATAAAGTTGCAGTTTAAAATCTAAAGAGTTTATTATGCCAATAATAAAACAACCATCATATGATAGTTATTAAGTTATTCCTACAAATAATAATTAATCAATTAAGAAGTACAATTTGAGAGTAAACTCATCAAACCTATTATCCTCAAATCGATTACTTCCATTTAATGTAGAATGTGAAAAGTCTTATCAAAGAAAATCCACTAGTCAATCAAATTAAATTATTGAATAAACAAATAATTGGTTAGATTAAACCTCTAAATAGCCTCCTGTCTTAATTGTAGATGATAATGAATTTAACATTATTGTCTTATAATATATTTTGGAATAATTGTATATAACTTGTGATTCTGCTATTTCAGGATTAATAGCATTAAAAAAATGTAAGGAAAGAGCTTTGAGTCAATATAAACTAATATTTTTAGATATTGAAATGCCTGAGATGGATGGATTAGAGACAGCAAAGAAACTTTTATAATTTGATGGAAGTCTTATGATTATAGCTTGTACTGGAAATAGATAAACAAAAGAATAATTGGAGACCTTCAAATAAGTAGGAATGTTAGGGGCAATAGAGAAACCGGTGACTAAAACAAATTTGAAAGAGTTACTTCTTAATATAAATACCTAAAGAAACTAAGCATAATTTACTCATTACTTTTGATAATTAGTCATTATATAATAACAGTTATTAATAAATACAAATTATAATCAAAATTTATAAGGCAAACCTTTACTACGTTTTTAATTTTTAATAAGGCTAGGAAAATAGAACAATCCTCATACTTTTGTTTAAAAAAGATGTTCCCCATATTATTTAAAAGATTTTAGTAAGTAATACAAGGAAGTTTGATTCCTTTTTTTTCAGGATGTTTAAATTAACATCTTTCACCATAACAACAATAACTTAATTCATATGAATGTGTACCCAATTGTAGTATAATTTTTACAAACTTTAGTTTTGTAATTGTGAGGCACATGTGTTTTCTATCTTATTTCATGTTTACCATGAGCAAATGCACACTATTAATATATATTTTCTATATACTTATTATCCATATGGACAATAATCTTCGATTGCCCAGTATTTACAAATCTAAAATTATTATTATTATTATTACTTCTGTCTTTACTTTAACAATAAATGAGATTTTATTTTTACTCTTATTTTCAATTTTTAGTTTATTTTCACATTCTTCTTAATCACTATAAAGAAAATAAAAGAAAATAATACCAACTAAAACTAGATGAGAGATTTTCATTCTCATCCTAAGTTGATATACAACAGCACTATTGCATTTTATATAAAAATATCTTAAAAATAATATTATTAATCTTTATTTATAATTAAGTTAGATATAAATGTTAAGACATTAATACATAAATAAAAAGACAATTTAAATATCAATAAATGTTTAAAGTTGAATCTAATACTTAAAAATAGGATAATTAATAATATCAAGTATTATATTTTGAATATTATTAAAATTGATTAATTGTTGTGTTTTAAAAATAAGAAAGATCTATTATATATTATATAATTCAAATTTTAACTACAATTATTAATATGTTTTATTAAAGGTTCTTTTTACTTTCTGTATTTTTTTAAAATAATGTGGAAATATTAAATATTTTTGCTATTTAGCTTATATTAAAATAAAAACGGGTTCGGAATGAGTTTTAATTATTTTTATGAACAGAATTTTTTTAACCTTGCTACTTGTTAGTGTCTGTCTTTGTTAAGAAGGTACTAAATATATGTAAAATAAGAAACTCTAATTTAACTTGAAAATGGAGTAAGTTTGACCAATCTAAATAAACTTATGGCTATGGATTATAGTCAATTAGATTGTTAGACAAATTTATTATAAGTTAGTCACTAATTGAAAATGTGGAGTGAATTATTTTAAGATGAGAAAGTTATTCATCATGAAATTAGATTATTAAGTACAGCTCATAAAATACTTAATCAATAAAAGTTTAATAGATTGAGAAACACAAGTACAGTGAAATTTAATGATAGACACTGTTCAAAGAGCAAAAAGAATTCTTGCTGCCCTAAGACATAATACACATAAGAAATAGCATACTATTTATTAATAATGGAGAGTGAATGAAATTAATTAATTGAAACATTCAATCTAATTATTACAAACAGCAACAAGTAGGAATATATATAAATATAATTTTTAGCTGAAGATGAAGGAAAATAATGTTGTGATAGAATTGAATAATTAATCAATAAATTTTTAGATGAAAGAAAACATATTGCTAAATAATGTGGAAATGCTGATGTAAATATCTTTTATAAAGTTAGGTTACCATCAATATTATTAATGATAATGAAAATAAAATAGAAGTTATTAATAAAAAATGTAATGAAAAAGATCCTGATGTTAAAATTAATAGAGTTGATTCAATTGATAAAGTTATTGTTGGATAATCTTAATAATAGAAAAAAGAAGAATAAGTTGTTGTTACTCAATAAAAATAAGAATAAGTTGTTACTCAATAAAAATAAGAATAAGTCGTTGAAGAACATCATGAATCAGTTGAAGAACATCATGAGTCAGTTGAAGAGCATCATGAATCAACCTAAACCTAAACTTAAACTTAAACTGTTACTGAAACTGTAACAGAAGAAACAGTTGAAGAAGAAGAAGAAGTAGAAGAAACTGTCATTGAAGAAACAGTTACTAAGACTACTTCATCTAAAATTGTGGAATAACCAGATGATGATGATGATGACGTTGTTGAAGGAGAATTAGTTTCTACTTAAGGTGTAGGAGCAAGTGGAGAAGGAGGTAGAACATGATTAAGTTAATATTAACAATAAATATACATTTTTAATAATCTTTTTATGTATAATGAGGAATCTTTATAATAAAATTAATATAGAATATGTCATTAGAGGAGAAGTAACAATTTTTGGTTGATGAAATCATCAATAAGGCATATGATAGTGAAGACTTTACAAAATATATGGATAGAAAGAAAGAAAATGGTGGATAAGATTTAGATATCTGGTAGATGGATGAATTAAGATAAGCAGTCTATGATTATCAAAAAATGAAGAATGCAATATTGTAAATTGTTGATGATGATGTTGGATTTAAAAAGAAAATTGATTGTTAAAAATTAATTGGAACAGAAATAGGAAACACAAATAATGTGTATATTACAATTGATTAGTACAATATATATTAATAATAGTTTTGATAAAAAGGATACAGGATTCTTTAGTCTTAGTAAATCATATGTAAACTATAGAATTGTTACATAACCATTTTAATGGGCTGTTACTAGAAGATATTCAGATTTCGAATGGTTAAGAGAAATATTAACTAAATAATATCCTGGAGTATTTGTACCTCCTATTGCTAATAAAACTCCTACTAGATAATTTAGTGATGCTTATTTAGTTAAAAGAATGAAATTCTTATAAGTAATTATTAAATTCCTATGTTTTTAGAAATTCTTAAATCATTTACTTAATTCAACGATTCTCAAGAATGATAAATACTTTTGTGAATTTTTAAGAATGCAAGATGAAAAGGAATTTAAATCTCTCCAAACTGCTTCAGAGAAAGTTCAAAAAACTACTAAGTTAGATAAAGTTATAAGTGAGACAGGAACAATTGAAGTAGCTTTCAATCCTTAAACTGATAATTATATTAAAGCTGCTGGTAATTTAATGACAAGTTTAAATTTAGATTTTGATGTGTAAGATAAATTTTTATTATTAGAATTATGAAATAATCTAAAAAAATGTTGTAAGATTTTGATATGGTATCAGCAACAATGTTTTAAATGGGTGAATCTTTTGAAGTGCTTACTAATCATATTAATTAATTTAATTCTTCTGTTTAAGAACCAGAAAAGATTTTAAAGTTTGAAGCAGTTACAATCACATTAAATAATATGATGATGATATGGGGTAGAAACTTTTAAAATTATGTGAATTACATTTAAGATAATTTTAGAAATTTCTTTAAATATCATGACAAAGAGATAGTCTAATTAAAAGAACATTTATTATTAAGATAATAAAGTTAAGCTGAATATCTAAAATATAAGGAAAGATTGGATTTAAAAAAAGAAAAGTTTTATTAATTAAAAGAGTTTAATAAATGGGAAGTATCAAAGGAAATCTTAGATGAATTAAAATTAAATATTGAAAATAAAAAATATTGTTTGAGTGTTATGCTACCTAAAGAAACATCATAATAAAATGATTTAAGGGATACATATGCTTATTATAATCTATCTACATATAATGAAATTAAAAGAGTCTTTGATTAAAATATTGATATTTATGCAAAACATTTTATTAAATTTGCTGATAGTCAAGCTAACAATTTAACAAAAGTAAAATTATATATATTTTAGATGCATTTAACATGGGCTGATATACAAGGAAATTTATAAGGATTAGACTTAATAACATAAAATGATTAAAAAGTTTAAATTATGCAGTAACCAAAACCAAAAAATTGAAAATTTAAATGTTTTTAGTAATTAGTCAAAAAGATTATAATTATTATCTATCTATTTTCTTCAATAATCCCTATTTATATAATATTTAATTTATTATACATTTAGACATAAATAAATTGAAATTTATTACTATTTATTATATACTATAACAAATAAACTTATTTAAGGAAGATGAATGAATTTATAAATTCTTTCAATTTTTATGGTATTAAATGAGATTTTGATATTATTAAATTAATAGTAAAAATCAAAATCATTTTAATAAATAATGAATTCAAGCAATGCTATATTTGAAAAATCTTCTCGATCACAGATGTAGACTAATGATGTAAACTCATGGTTAAGAAGAAGGTAATTAATTAATTTATTTATTAAAGACATTTTAATAAAGTAAAAAAATAATATCTCTTACATCCTGATTAGATTAAATAAGAATAGGAAATAAAGAAAATATTTATTAATTTTGACAGAGATAAATCAAGTATTTTAGTTATTCAATTCAATAGAAAATATAGATATTGGTGAAATGTATGATATGTTTTAAAAATATGGGTTTGGAGTGACAGAAAAATAACTTAAAGATTTTTTTAGAGTAGTTGATAAGGATAAAGATAGTATTATTAAAATGATAAATTAGATGCTTTGAATTGGGATGAATTTAAAAACTCTGTGATTGATGCTGATGCTTCAAAAAGTATAAATATTAAACATTTCTAATAGTCTTCTATAATATTATAAAAGAAGTCAGATAAAATTCAAATGTTGAATCTTCTAGTAATTTTGGATATATTCCCTTTTAATTTAATGACATGATTAGCTATTTAAACTATTTAATAAGTAGAAATGAACTTTAAGAATCAATTAAGGTATTAAATTTCTAATTCATAGCAAAATTCATTAACAACTTATGAAAAGTTTCAATAATATCTATAGTTGATCTAACTGAATTAAAATTAGAATTAAAACTATAATTACTAAAAATAACCAAATCGAATAAATGAAGAAATGAAAGAATAAACATAAGATGAACTTGAATTTACAAAAGTTAATTCTAATAAATTCACATATTCAAAAACTTCATGTAATTATTAAAAATTATAATAGTTTACAATACTAATGACTTACCTTTATTATTGAAATTGAAATCAAGTAAAAAGTAGAATAATTAGAAAGATAATAATATGAGAACTAGCATTGATTCTTAATGGACTCATCTTTCTAATTAATTTAGTTTATAAACCAATCCTAAATCAGATAGATACCTTAATTAAAAAATGGCTAATAATCATATTCTAATTTTGAATACATCATCATAACATAAAGTATTTCCAAATGATAAATACAATAAATCTTAAAATATTGATTCTAATGTGAAATCAACACCTTATTTGTAATTAAATTTAAATAAGATTAATTCAAGTTATAGAGAAAATTTTCAAACTGAACCTAATAATAAGTAAGATTCCAGTAATAAAATTGATCATCTTCCAAAGACTTTGATTAACGAATTATAAAAGTTTTAAATTTTATCTGGAAATCATAAAAGAAGACACACTAATCTGATCAAAACTTCTCCAAATTAATAATGTGATTTTAATTCAAAAAAGTTAACATCATTATTAAAAACTTCAGCAGATGTACATCAACTAATAAATAATATTTAGTTAAGTCCTCATTCTCCAAGTAATAGTAAATTATGTACACCTAGATTCTTGAGAGATGAGAAATGTATAACTTACAGAAAAACTATCAATAGGCCTATTTTCTAAACCTATTCTTAGTATAATAAATCAGAGAAACCATTAAATATTACTTTAAAGGGTAAATCTTTGTAAATAAAATGAAGAGTTTAAATACTTTTTAATAAATAAAGAATTATGATTTTTAATCATTTTAGATTTTTTTAATGAAATTTTAATTTTATTTTTAATAGATTATCCACAATTAATAATAATTCCTAAAATATCAATTAGATTTTCCTCTATTTTATTTTTCAATAATTTTATTATATATTCAGATTTAAGATAATTTTTTATAATATTATTGATGTTAAATATTGCTTTGAGATTTAATAAGATTCATCAAATTTATTATTATAAAAAATATTTTTATCAAACTCCACAATTTTCATTTGAAATCAAAATATAAAGAAAAAATATTTTATAATATTTAGATTATGGGAGATATAAATCTAAAAATAAGGACTTTAATAAAATTATTCTAATTTTATTATTTTAAGGTTTAACTCAACTTAAGGAAATTAAATTAATAATAAATGTAATAAGGGTTCCTATTATATGTTTAGATTTCTAATAAAATTTAAATTGAATTAATTTCTTGTTTTTTTAATTAAAATTTTTCATCTTTGAGAAAATTCTTAAATTTCAAACCATAAATTAATATATACATTAATTTAAAATTAAATAGACATTCTTCTTTAATTTTTTATTATTATTCATTTTTCTAATGATATAGTCTTTTCATTCCAATCTTTAAGTAATACTATTATTTTATATTCACTCCCTAATTTATACACTACTTTCTGAGATTAATTAAAATAGTATCTATTATAAATATATATGTAGAATAGTGCTTAAAATAAAACTTAATTTATTTTAAGTTAGATATATATTAATGATAGGGTTAAATAAATATTATCTGAATAAATAATAAATACTTTAATAATCAAAATCATTAAAATTTTAATTCATCTTATTTAGGAATTTGAATTTATGATTCAGAAAAGAATGAGATGACGTTTATATATATTAATTTTTAATTGTTTGATGTCTGTTTAGTCTATTTCAATTCACAATGCCTGTTAGATGATTTCATCAATAGTTTTATCTATTGTTCTAATATGTATTATGAAAGATGCTGCTTTAGCAACTATGTTCAAGTCTGGATCCAGAGCTTTTGCTAAGCCTTCTAAGACAATCATATTTGTCAGTAGAGCTGCAAAATGGCCTTCAATAGACATTCCATTTGCTCTCAAGATTTCTAACATAGATCTCAATACCTATCCAATATTCATTTAAGCTAAAGGCACTTTACAAACATTTGTGAATAAATCTTACATTTCTTTCATAAATTTATCTTATACTTTTTGTTCGATTTATCTATTATTATAATGAGCTAATTGCAACATTAATTTTCCACATTCATAAGGTTTTCTCAAAGTTACAAACATTACTAATTTAATAAATGATGCACGATCGCTTTTATTTAAAATGGTTATCATACCAGGATCTAGAAAAATAATCTAAACATCTTTTCTTGTTTATCCTTAACCTCTTAAATATGTATCAAATAATTTTTCATCAGTTTTTTTTTCTTATTTTAATTTTAACATCTATTCATAATTTAATAATAACTACATTTCCTTGATCTAATGTCTATGATGTTTAATATTCTGCTATTTTTGTTAACCCTTTTTCTATTAAGCCATCAACAATTTCATAAACGAAATCCTAAAGATTCCAAAATTTTTATTAAACCTTTTCTTTTAATGTTTTAGGAACAGGAAAATCTTTAATTCTTATCATAATATTGCCTGCATGACAATCTGCATGAATAAAATTATCATAAATTAACATTTTATAAAATGCTTTCAAACCTAAATTGGCTAAAGCAAGGTGTTCTAATGTTCTTTTTTATTTTAAGAATAATGTCAAAGGTATGGCATCTTCATATGTTTCAGTTAGAATATCTGCTGATACATATTCTTCAATAGGTCTAGGAAATACAACATGAGGGTTATTTTTAAATTTATCACAAAAAACTTTAAGATTTCTACCTTCAAATCTTAAATCAGTTTAATTTACAAGAGTTTTCTAAAATTCTTCAAATGTTACAGGCATTCCTAATTATTTAATTTTTAAAGTTTCACTAAAAAAATTAGCAACCTTATATAAAATTCTTATATCCATAACTAAATTATCTATAATATCTGGATGTCTAACTTTAATAGCAACATATTCTCCATTTAGTTTAGCTCTATGAACTTGAGCTATTGAAGCTGAAGCAATTGGTTTTTCTTCAAATTCATCAAAAACATCCTTAATTTTCTTGTTAAAAGCTTATTCAAATTATAAATTAGTCTTCTCTAAAGAATGAGGAGAAGTATCATCTCTTAATGATTCTAATGCAGCTATAATTTCCTCTCCAAAAATATCACCTCTATGACTAGCCCATTGTCCTAATTTTATCCATAATGGGCCAGCTGATTAGAGTGTGTATACTAAATATTTAAGCCAATAGGGAAACAAATAGGACTTGAATATTAAGGAAAATGGTAAAAAAATAGTCAAAGGTAAAAATTTTAATAACAAGTGTAAAAATCTGATCTTTCTTCTTAAACTTTAGATTATTCTCTAAAAAAAAGAGAGTTATTTTGTATTCTTCTCTCCAAAGTATTCTTATGTCAGAGCCTTGATTAAATATGACAATTACTTCAGTGTCAGGAATCTAATTGTACATTGAGGAAAAATGCATTTATTGATACCTTTCTCTTCCTTATCTATACAAAATATAAGAGAAACCAACTCCTAAACTTAATCCTATTTTTGTTTTGGTAAAAAATGGCTATGGTTTATTGAAATGTGTAAATGGATATTTAAGAATTTTTTACATAAAAATTTAAATTAAAAATCATTTAATTAATTCAGAAACTGATTTCATATTTAAATTTTATTCTAATTTCACTATTTAATTATCTAGTCTCTAGTAATGTATCTACATTCATATAAATATGATGTTCTAAAATAAACCATCCACATTATTATAATATTTATGATAAATAGTATTGACCAGCAACTTTAAATTCTTTATTATATTTTTATTACTTCTTTTTTTGTCCTGCTATAAATGTATAAAAATAATATGAATACTTATGATACTACTGGTCTTATCCAATATTCCTCTGTTATATATACAATGTTATTCAATTTATTCCTCATTATATAACTCTATTTTAACAAATTAAAGAATATCATTAGCACCAATCAAATAAAAATTTATTGGTATCTTCAAATGATTCTTTTCATAAATATTTTGTTTATTGTACCTAAATTTAAATCTCTAATTAGAATTGCATTTTATTTGAATAATTCGTCATCATCCTCTTCAAAAGGTTTCGAAAATGTTTGTATTGAGAATGATTCTAAAAGTTATTCAAAAAAATAGATTTTATCTTCATTTTTAATCAAATTTTAAAAATTGATTCCATATCTTTATTTTAAGAATTAATTTGTAATTTCAAAGGATCTCTAAGCATTTATTTACTTATTCTAAGGGACATAACTTAAATAGCAATTTCGTAATCTCACCATACATTTTCCTTTTTCTAATATTACTGCTTAAATCTAAGCTTTGTGTTCATTAAATTGAATTGAAATTTATTAAATTTCAAGAATTTTATTAATTTGAAATTATTTAGTTGAATGTATATTCTATAAAATAAGAAACTATTCAATTAATTTAATTTGTTGAATAAGTAGAGATATTAGTTTTATTTATCTAAAATTTAAACATTTGGCAAATAATAAATATTATGAATGGAACTCATAGAAGAGGTCAATATTTATATTTGTTATGAATTTAACTTTGATAAATATTATAATATTTCTTCTTTTTCTTACATTTCATATTCAACTAAATTTTCTTATTTAAAATATAATTAAAATGTAATTTCATCATATCTTATATCTAATTATAAAATAAATTCAATTTGAGAATAAATAGTGACATGAAACCTTTTTAATCCTATATTGTTAATTTACCATGAACAATTTTCATTAAGAAATATTATTCACTATTCTAACAATAAACCTTGAGGTTATGGATATATTGCAAATTTAGTTTTATATTATTCATTCATAATTTGAATAAACGGAACAATCAAATATTTGATAAATGTTTTAAAATTATTCAAATATTTTATTGGATAAGGTAATGTATGAATATATTGAGTATATTATAAAAAATCTTGTATTTATGAAATTTCAAAATACTCATTCAATATTTTATCATTTATTTTAGCTGTTAATCTTAATTTTTATTATAATTATTAAATTTCAATTTATATAGTTTCTTATTTAAAAATAAATGAGATATTTTAAAGTAAGGGAATATAGATTATTTAGCCTGTAAAATTATCAGTAAAATAAAAATATTAATTATCATCAATACTATTATTGTAAGTTGTATAATTCTTTTCATGATGAAATGTTTTATTCATTTAAAATTTGAGTAATTAATTTTGTTCATTTAAATGTTTAATTTATTCTAAATGTTTAAAATTCTATTCTTTTGTTTCTTTAAAATTTATTTATTCATTATCAATTATTTTAATTCTTAATTAATTAATTTCTTCCTAAAATAATTTTATTTATTATTTCCATCCATATCCTTTGTTTTTCAAATTATTATTTTTGTTTTTCAATTTTATTTATTTCATTTTGTAAATATATCTATTATATATCTAAATCAATTTTACTATTAGACATTTGATCTTCTTATATTATATTTTTTGAAAATATAATTACATTTATTATTCAACTTTATTTGTAATTACTTTCTCCAAATTTAAAGAGTAGTAATTTTAAATGATTTTCTTTTTATTTTTGTTTCAATTGTAGTTTCCTAATCATCTTCTATTTTATTAATTCGTTTAATCCTATAGAAAAATTTCCTTTATTAATAGAATCTTCATTTTTAAGTCTTGAAATCCTTTTTATGTAGTTTAAGAATATAAAAAGCTTAGCCATATAATCCAATTGATTAAAGGTTTTAGCTGTATTCATAAAGATTATAAATTAAAGAGCATTTGAAAGTGCTTTAAGCAAGTGTTATTTTATAAATCTAATAATTGATTTGGATAAAGGCTCATTTCTAAATAAATTTATTGATACTTATGTAATAAAGCTCCAATATTATTAAGACAAATTGCAATAATATTTATGGAATTTGGCTAATTAAGATACTCTTATATCAGTATTTCATATTAATTCAACATTTACTCCTTATCAGATAGGTGAGTTATTATAGATAATCTATTCATAATTATATTTATAAAATAAATGTTAGATAGGTAAAAACTAATTAATATCATTTTTAACAACAACCTAAAAATCTTAGAAACCAATTCTTTTCTTCTTTAATTTCATCAATATATTACTATTTTTATTTGATTGGACTGTAGTTGTTACTGTAATCATAAGTAGATTTTCTTTTTTGTTTTCTTTCTTAATATGTCATATGAACAATAGAGAAGATTTAATTGTGTGTTTCTTCAATTTTTAAGTCAATTAAATAAGATGGAAAATCAGTTTTAGGTTTTCCATTTTTTTTTACCATATACACTTCATAATTTCTTGGATTTTAATCAAGAGGATTATCCTTGCTAGCTATTTGTAATACTCGATTGATAGCATCAACAAGCTCAGTTTCAGGAGGTAATTCTATTAAGACATTAATAATTTATTCTTCATTAGATAAGTAGAATCTATAAGGTTTTTTTATTTAATTAAATGTTTCTTTCAAAGAACTTATTAACGATGTTTTAATTTTCTAACCTGTGGTTTTGGTACTATCAGTTTGAGACATTAATTGCTTTATGGAAAATTATTGTTTATTTATTTTAGATTTTTTTAAACTCTGTTAAGATTTTATTCTAAATTATTTTAATTATACTATTATTATAATATTAGATTATAAGAAATAATATATCTATTTATAATATATATTAAAGTTCATTAATTTTAAAAGTTAAAATTTCTACTTCATTTTATTAATTCTTTATTTTCTAGAAATAAATTGGATCTAAAGTATTATATTCTTTTTTTGCAAACCAATCCGTTTATATTCTATATAAAAACTATTGTCTATTATTTAAAATACTTAATCTCATTGTTTATAAATTAATAGTTCTTTCTCTTCTGTTAAATTAACAACAAAAATACAAATATCTAATTGTTTTTTAATCTGGTTGATTGCATAATCTAAAATAAAATATAGTACCAATATTAATTATTAGAAGATTATCAATTTTGATATTTATTTAATAATTATAATATGTGATACTCTTTTATAGATACTGATTTAAAATTAATTTAATCTAATCTAGTTTCTTTTATTTTTAATTGTTTTTATCTATACCATATAAAATATATTCTTATTTTACAATCTATAACTATTAATTCTTTCAACCTTTCTAATTATAATCAAAGAACTTGAAAACAATTTTATTTTCATATCTTCTAAAATATGAAAATCAATTATAGATATATATATATTTCTAAAAGGTTTTTATTAAAGATTCACATTAAAATTATTTAAATTAATTGAGATTTCTTCTATTATGAATTTGATATATATCATTTTAAATTTTATATTCTTTTTCAGACTCCTTTTTCCTAAAATTTTTGAATTTCTATAAACTTTCTCTTATTATCTATTAAATTTAGATATGTAAATTAAATATTATGTTTATTAATTATATAATAATAATATTCATTCATTATATAATTATAATCATTTCTTAGATTTCTTTTTTTTACCTCTTGTTTTCTTTCCTGTATCAGGTATATTAGCTAACAAAATTCCAGGTTTTGGAAGGGGTATCTTATGAGGATTTAAATGTCCTTGAGGTATAACAAGAGATTTTTGAAGGATGGTTATGGGTACAATTCTTTTTTCAGAAGCTAATCTATTTTTTAATACATTAATTTCACTAATCTATGATAATATAATTTTAGAATACTTATTTATCTATATCTGATTTAATACTATGACTTTTGAACACAGTACTAAATTATTTTGAAGGTTGTACACTTCTAAAACAACTGGAAGATAAAGAACGATTATTTTAAATGTTTTCAGCACTAGGATGATTTTGTTCTCCTCCAGGCAACCAACTTCCTCTTGCCCTTTTCAAGAAGTAAAGTCTTTACGAATTAATTCTTGATTCCAAGTAAGCATTTTTAGATTAAAAATCTTCAGCCTCATCATCTACTTAAGTAGGTAAAACAGTATTTTCAATAATTTTAGTAATTGGAATAGCAGTTTAAATGATTCTACCTTTAGGATAAGATGCTTTATTAAGATAATTTGCATAAGCTTTTTCTTCAGCAAGATCCATTTTTTTAGATTCATAGATATCAGAAACTTTGATACCAATAGTCGAGAATTGAGATCCCATGGATTATAGCTATGATTATATTAAATTTATATACTTATTAAGATTAGAGTATTATTTCATCAATTCTACTTTTGTTTGCTGCCCAATCTTTCATGGATTAAACCATTTCAATATCTTCTCTTTATTCTTTAACTTCTTTAATTCTTTATTGTTAATAATATTGATTAAGTCGTGCTGCAGCCATATTATCTTCTATATTAGTTGGATCATAATTATGAAATATTCCTTAAAGTTCTCCAACACGTTAATTTTATCCAATTTAATAAGCTAATTCAGTATCTTTATCAGTTTTATAAGTCTTTTTTTCAGGTGCAATACTAATATATTTATCTTTTCTTTCTTTTTTCTTTTTTTTTTTCTTTGGTGAAATATCCTTTTATGATTCCATATTTTTTTAAGAACCATCTATTTTATCAGGAGATTATTCTTCATCTTCATCTTATTCTTATTCTTATTCTATGCCTTCAATATAATCTCTATCAGTTGGTTTATTTGCTTTAAGAGGAGATTCTTCTCTTGGGATTTGACGTCTTGTACTTTTTTATTATTCTTCAAATGTTTCAAAAACTGGAAAATTAGTATCATACATCCAAGAAGCCTATTATTTAATGACAGAATATTATTGATTTGTTCCTGGTCTTGATAATTTATCAACTTAATCAATCATTTTATAAGTAGTCTATGAAGTTTAAGGTCTTGTATATTGAGAGAAGCCCATAATTCCTGGAGTAGTGCCAGGTCTTGTGCTTGTATCAGATAGTAGATTTTTCCTATGATAACTTTTAACTCTATCTTCAGGTGGATCTATGTCTGGATGCATTGATCTATTTTTCGATTTGTAATCTTCAATTCCAGAAGCATACATACTTTCATTATAAGTATTTGGTATATATTACAAAGTCTGAGAATTATGTATATATAAATTACATTGTCCTTCTTTTCAATAAGAGATTATGTTAATGATTATTTTTAGGATTTTGGTAATTAACGAAAGAACCAAGAGGAAACTTTATTTAGAAATTCTAGTTACTACTACTTATTTCTTGTACTAACAACTTCAAGTAATGAATTCTTTAATTATCTAAAGAGGTTATCATATACAAAAGGGTCTTTTAATTCTATTTATTATGCTCGATGTAGTGTCACTCTTTCATTCCAAGTCATTATTTACTATTTTAGCATCTAAAATATTTGATTATTATTCAAGTATCCAGATGTTAATCCATCCAGATCAATCTTTAAGAATTAGTTATATAACTACAATTTATAATATTGGACGTTCATTGAGTTTATTGATGTCTTCTATTTTGTATCCTGTTCTTGAGAGACGTTCATTTAATTGTTGATCAATTGTTAATGGAGGTTATACAAGAGGTTTACCATTTAGATAAAAAGATCTCTCCATTTTCATTTTTATTTATTAATTAATATTTCTTAATGTATATTTATCTGATGGAAACCTTACAATACATGATATATAAAATCATTTCTGTGGTTATTACCATTGATAGTTTTGATACTGTTGATATTAAGGGTACTGTTGATATTGTTGATAATCATAATATTGATATTGATAATATGGATAGTATTATTGTTGATTTCGTTGTTATTGCATCTAATATTTGTATTGTCTCAATGCTTATTCTCTTTCATCAATAACTGTAAAATCATTTAGGATACTCTTTTTATCTGCAAATTCTTCAAAGATTTTCATCATTTCTTTTCCTGTTTCCCAATTTAAAAATACTCCATCTCTTGATCGAGTTACTTCTACATTATCACTATTAATTAATTTTAATCAATTACCTATTTTTTAAATGCTCAAAATGTTTGTTAGGTACATCCTTTACATATAACCATTAAACATTGAAATGACCTTTCCATTTCTTGATTTCCCACCAATACTGGAAACTTTCATCCTTATATCCTGATGTCAATTTAGCAACTCCTACAAATTATCCACTTCTAACAACACTAAAAAACAAGTAAACTGTTTTGCCTTATTCTTGTGCTTCCAAGAATTTAGCATTAAGTTTTTCATTATTTTCTTTGCTTGATGTCCAAATACCATATTTTATTGACTAAAAATATATAATTAATGAATTTTTTACTTTATGAATATCATCATCATTATTACTACGAAGTATATAAGCATATGCCTCTGTATCTGCTAAATTTCTATTTGCTTGATTAATTTGTTTCAAAGCAGGTATTAATTTAGATGCTTATTCTAAATTAGTATAATCTTGGCATGATATGTAAGGCACTTTTAAATCTCTCTTATTTCTGACATATGGTTCATAATGATTATTCATTAATTTTTAATTAAATTTAAATAATCATTTAACAAATAAATACATATTCACTCTTCCCATATTCATATAGATTTGTTATAGTTTTTAAAATTATTCTTGATAATTAATATAATACAACATTTATGAAAAATTCCAAAAAAACACTTCTTATAGTAGGTGGTGGTTTTGCAGGCATGACAATAATCACTCAAACATATAAACAATTCAACATAGTCTTATTAGATTAAAAATCATATTTTGAAGTAATTAAACAATATCATTTCAAGTTTGTACCTTCTGTCTTCAATGCATTTATCCATCCAGAATCCATATTTGATCTAACCTTACAATTCAAATAGAGTAAATTTGGAATACTCTTCATCTAAGGCAAATTAGTATTTACTATTTATATAGATAGACTCACATTGAAAATAATATAGCATATTATCAAGGAGGCTAAATTGAATTTGATTATTGTGCTATTACTATTGGTTCTAATTATACAAATCCTATTAAATCTACAATTCCTAAACTATCAGATAGATTTATTGAACTTAAAAAAACTTAACACAAAATTATTGAATCTTAAACTATTCTTATAATTGGTGGAGGTATTGTTGGAGTAGAATTAGCTTGTGAAATTAAAGCAACTTATAAATAAAAAACAGTTGCTATTATTACCAAAGGTAAAATATTATCAACAATGCCTAAATCTGCTTCTGTTTATGCTAAAAAAAGAATGTAAGATTTAGGAATAGAATTTAAAGAGGATTATAAAGGACCATCATTAGATTCTAATTTTGATTTAGTTTTCAATTGTAAAGGTAATACTTATGAAAGTATTCGTCTTGATGACAATTTTGAAATGTTTGATTCAAAAAAATAATTTTTAGTAGATGATTACTTAAAAATTAGAACAAATCCAAAAATATTTTGTGCAGGTGATATTTGTTTATCAAGTTAAAATGAAACAAAAACTGCATTTTCTGCTGAAATGTAAGGAGAAATCATTGCTTACAATTTAAAACATCCAAATAAATAGATTAAATCATATTGGATACCTAACACTTATATAATATCTTTAGGTGGATGGAAAGCAATCTTTATATTTG